GGGGTTGTTTTGTCATTCTTGTTACTTATTTTATGCTCATTTAAAAAAAGCCTCATCCGAGATCTTAGAGTAAATCATACAATATAACACTTACCCTTCTCGGATATGGGCGGAAAACTCTCAGAGGTCCCGTGTGCAAGTTGAGCACGTTAAAGATCTTTTACTTCACCAAAATTGATAAGAGTAGGCTTCGGCCGTCACCCGGACAAAATTCAAAATGAATTCCTTCAAAACAAAAAAGTCTAATGTGTCCCACGCGCTCTATAACCTTGTGCAGTTGCGCGCGCCGTAAATCACTTACCAAAACAACAACAAAAAAAGCAGACACATTTTTAAAAAATTTACAAATTTAAAAAAAACCGGCAGACATGCCAACCTCCCATAGACAGAAGTCCCAACTTTTTCTAAGCAGAAATAGGGAAAATCCCAACTTTTTCAAGGCAGAAATAGGGAAAATCCCAACTTTTTCAAAGCAGAAATATGGAAAATGCACATTGGACTCTTTTACCCCTCACCAAGTACTCTTTCTATGCACAAGACTACTGTATCTGGTACCAATGTTTTAGCAGACAAGGCGGGTCACACCTCATCCATGTTTGTATTCACCAAAACAATCCCTCTGTCAGCGAGTTTCAGAAAGAAAGAAGGTTCTATCTATGGCCCAAACAATTGGGAACATTTATTGAGACCTAGAGAATAGCAGTCTGAAGGAAGGAATTTCCCCCACAAAATAGGGAAGGTTGGCAAGTCTGAAACAGTGGTATAAAAATGTAAAGAAAAAGGTAAGGAAAAAATGGATGCTCACCAAATCACTCACCTGGCCGCCGCCGTTGAGTTTGTTGGTGAGTTTGACCTTGCTGAAGTTGACAGGTTCCTTCATCCAGTGAGCGCCGAAGTTCGGACTGTCGGGGTGAATGTACACACAGCTGGGGGCGGCCGGTTCTGCCTTACCTCCAGGCACCCAGTCACCGTTGACATACTTCCATCTGTGGGGGACAGAGAGATGGTGTCATTGTGTGTGTGTGTGTGTGTGTGTGTGTGTGTGTGTGTGTGTGTGTGTGTGTGTGTGTGTGTGTGTGTGTGTGTGCGTGTGTGTCTGAAAGAGAGAGAGAGAAAGAGAGAGAGTGTGTGTGTGTGTGTGTGTGTGAGAGAGAGAGAGAGAGAGAGAGAAGAGAGAGAGAAGAGAGAGAGAAGAGAGAGAGAGAAGAGAGAGAGAGAGAAAAGAGACAGAGAGAAAGAGACAGAGAGAGAAAGAGAGAGAGAGAAAGAGAGAGAGAGAGAG